AAAACTCCAGAAAAAGAACTAAATGAAATGATGGAGGTAAGCAATTTATTTGAAATAGAGTGAAAAAAAATGGTTGTAAGGATGCTCAAGGGCCTTAGTGAGAACTTTAACAAAGAGATAGCAAACATAAAAAGAGCTTAGAAACCATAAAAAAGAACCAGTCAAAAATGAAGAATACAACATCTGCAATAAAGAACACACTAGAAAGAATAAACAGGAGGTTGAATGAAGTAGGGGATCAAATCATGGATTTAGAAGACAAAGTAGCAGAAAACACCTAATCAGAGAGCATTAAAAAAGAAGAAAAGAAAAAATTTCCAAGGGGAAAAAAAAAGAAGAAAATCTTACTTTTAGTGACAGCATGGATGAACACAGAGGGTATTACGCTAAGTGAAATAAACCAGTCAGAGAAAAACAAATAGCATATGATTTCACTTATATGTGGAATCTAATGAACAAAATAAATGAAATAGAAACAGACTCATAGATAGGGAGAACAGACAGTTCTCAGCGGGGACAGAGGCTAGGGAATGCATGAAGTAGCTCAAGGGATTAAGCTAATAAAACCCTCACGAACAGAGAGAATAGTATGCTGGTTGTCCAGAGGGAGGGGTAGAGGGGGGCAGGTGGAAGAGGGTAAATGAGAAATAAATGGTGATGGATGAGACTAGACTTTGAATGGTGAGCACACAGTGCAATGTTCAGGTGATGTATTGTAGGATTTTATACTTGAAACCTATAGAAATTTATTGACCAATATAATCCCATTAAGTTAAATAAAAAATAAATTAAAAAAATGGGTAAATAGGGTAGTGATATTCTCTAGGATGCTGTTGTTCCAAATGTGATTTCTTTTGTAAGTATTTTATTGATTATGCTATTACAGTTGTCCCATCTTCCCCCCTTTATTCCCCTCTGCCCTGCACACTCCCTCCCACCCACATTCCCCCCTTTAGTTCATGTCCATGTGTCATATATATAAGTCCTTTGGCTTCTACATTTCCTACACTATTCTTAAGCTCCCCCTGTCTATTTTCTATCTACTACTTATGCTACTTATTCTTGCACCTTTTTCCCCTCTCTCCCCACCCACTCTCCCACTGATAACCCTCCATGTGATTTCCATTTCTGTGATTCTGTTTCTGTTCTAGTTGTTTGCTTAGTTTGTTTTTGTTTTAGGTTCAGTTGTTAATAACTGTGAGTTTGTTGTCATTTTACTGTTCATATTTTTTATCTTATTTTTCTTAGATAAGTCCCTTTAACATTTCATATAATAAGGTCTGGGTGATGATGAACTCCTTGAGCTTGACCTTATCTGAGAAGCACTTTATTTGCCCTTCCATTCTAAATGAAAGCTTTGCTGGATGGAGTAATCTTGGATGTAGGTCCTTGCCTTTAATGTCTTGGAATACTTCTTTCCAGCCCCTTCTTGCTTGTAAGGTTTCTTTTGAGAAATCAGCTGACAGTCTTATGGGCATTCCTTTATAGGTAACTCTCATTTTCTCTTGCTGCTTTTAAGATTCTCTCCTTATCTTTAATCTTGGCTAATGTAATTATGATGTGCCTTGGTGTGTGCTTCCTTGGGTCCAAGTTCTTTGGGATTCTTTGAGCTTCCTGGACTTTGTGAAAGTCTATTTCCTTTGCCAGATTGGGGAAGTTCTCCTTCCTTATTTGTTCAAATAAGTTTTCAATTTCTTATTCTTTCTTTTCTCCTTCTGGCACCCCTATGATTTGGATGTTGGAACATTTAAAGTTGTCTTGGAGGTTTCTAAGCCTCTCCTGATTTTTTTTTTTTTGAATTCTTGTTTCTTCATTCTGTTCTGGTTGAATGTTTCTTTCTTCCTTCTGGTCCACACTGTTGATTTGAGTCCTGGTTTCCTTCCCACCACTGTTGGTTCCCTGTACATTTTTCTTTATATCACTTAGTGTAAGCTTCATTTTTTCATCTAATTTGTGACCATACTCAACCAATTCTGTGAACTCCTGATTACCAGTGTTTTGAACTGTGCATCTGATAGGTTGGCTATCTCTTCATCACTTAGTTGTATTTTTTCTGGAGCTTTGATCTGTTCTTTCATTTGGTCCTTTTTTTTTTTTGGTCTTGGCACACCTGTTACATAGTAAGAGGCAGAGCCTTAGGTGTTTACCAGGGCGGGCAACCCACATGGCTGTGTTGTGACGCTATATGTGGGGGAGGATCCGAGAGGGAACAGTGCTGCTTGCTCCATTCTCAGCTGGTTTTCAGTCACTTTCCCTGCTTCTTACAATCAAATGGGGCCCTTCTGGTGCTGATTCCTGGGTGAGTGGTTTGTGTATGTTCCAGGATCCTGTGGGTCTCTTTAACAAACTCTCCTGGGAGGCTGGGAGTCTCTCCTGGCACCTCATCTCCCACAGGTGTTTTCAGTCAGAGGTTTGAGGCTTTATTTCCCTCCTGGAACCCTGGGTTGTGGGTCTGTCTCACTCCCCAGTTGTTCCTTCCAGTTTATCTTCATGTGAATGTGGGACCCCCGATCCACCAGCTGCTGCCTCATCACAAGTCCTCTCTGCCCCTCCTGTAGATCTGAGTGAGTGTTTTTTCTTTAACTTCTTGGTTGTCGGACTTCCATACAGTTAAATTTTCTCAGTTCTGGTTGTCTTTTGTTTTTAAATTTGTTGTTGTCCTTCTTTTGGTTGCTCGAGGAGACACAGTGTGTCTACCTATACCTCCATCTTGGTCAGAAGTCCAAATGTGATTTCTTTTGTTGAAAGAAATAACCACATCTAGTATTGGTATGTGGCCATTAATCTGGTAGACATATTCTTTTAATTACCCACCAATAAAAAGGATTAAAAATTATTCAACTATTTATGTGGGAAGTACACAGAAGTATGTATTCATTGTCTTGTTTCAAAGCCATGTTATAACCCACCTAATCGAATGGTGCCAGAGTGAGAGCTTAATATAAAAACAGGTAAGATTTAGATTATAGATAAAAAATAAAATTCAGCCACAACCTGCAGCAACCAGTCCAGGAAACCAACCTACGGTCTGTAGTAACCGACCCAGGAAATCAAATAATAACCCTATTGGCCCAAACCAGTCAAGGTTTGATTAATAATTTCCAGGGTTGTTTTTTGTTGTTGTTGTTTGTTTGTTTTGTTTTAGTTTTTGTCCCCACTTCCAACTTGGGACTAACAAGAAGAAGCCAAATACCCGTGATTAGTCAATCACGGAGGGCACATCACTGTTTCTAGGGAGCCTGCTCCCAGCTCCACCGAGTCAACAGGCTTAGGACCAGGCAGACCTGGAGGCCCCTCCTTAACTCTGCTCTAAGGATTCCAGCCCTCGGCCCTCCTCCATGTCTCTGCCACACACTGTGAGGACGGAGGCCGCTCTTGCTACAAAAGCTCTGGATAAATATCCTTTGCTTGCTCTCAAAAATTACATGTTACATAGTTAGAATGTGAGCTATAAGGGTTTATTATTTGACTTCTGATCAACTTTTCAATCTAACGTCTAACATCATAAGGGCCACATAGAAATGGCGATGTTGTCATTGAAGCTCTTCAAGAAATTAGACTTTAATGAATTCCACAGAGAATTCCACCTTGATCATGGGAGCTACGCAGTCATCATACCATTCCCACAGCAAAATGCCATGGAAAAACAAGTTTTGAAAAGCACAGGCAACATATAAACATGATGGCCTGATTGAGGGACCCAAGTGCCATCTTCTCTTCTCTGCAGGAAACCACGGAGTGGAGAGTCCCCTGCTCAGTGGATGAGACACAATCAAATAACATTCAGCGCATTAGGAATTAAGCATTTGGGGAGAGAGGGACTCTTACCATAGCAACAAAGCCTCAGACGGCCCAGAATTTTATTGGCCAAATCCTTGCATTTTTCCTGCAGGGCAGCATGAGTCCTCACCCTGGAAGCAACAGCATGGATTAAAAGTGCCCACAGTTATCCTGGCTGGTGTGGCTCAGTGGATTGAGCACCAGCCTGCAAGCCAAAAGGTTGCTGGTTTGATTCCCAGTCAGGGCACATGCCTGCACTGCAGGCCAGGTCCTCAGTGGGAGGCACTCAAGAGGCAACCACACATTAATGTTTCTCTCCCTCTTTTTTCTTCCCTTCCCCTCTCTCTAAAAATAAAATTTAAAAATCTTTGAATTAAAAACATAAATTAAAATAAAAGTGCTAGAAGCAAGCATGATATTTGGATATTCAAGTTAAATTGATATATCTAGAGAGAGAACAGAAAATAGAGTTACATGTATGAACAGCCAGAATGCTCAGTTTCCAAACACGAAAAGGCTATCATTTCAAAACTCACTGTGCCTGAGTTTTCAGGATCTGATGTGATTAGCCAGCATTGCCTGATAAAAGATCTGGTTCTGCGAGGGAGTCATGGAGGGTCTCAATCTTTCTCTGTAGTCAAGGCTTTCTGCTGGGCTCAAGAGTGTGAAACAATCTTTCTCAAAGGGCCAAGGTTCCCCAAAGAGAGGTGTGAAATGGCCCTGGCACAGAAGCACTGGGAAATAATACAGCACATGTGGAAAGCAAAGGAGCAAGTCACCTGCAGCTTGTTGTCCAGGGGACTGTCGGCCCTGACACCTCCTGACCATGACCTGGCCCTCCTTGCCCTAGACCACGTCTGAATATAGCCCATCTCACACTTACTCCAAAATAGACATGAAATTCATCTCATAAAAATTGGGTCATGACTGAAGCGCCAGGAATGGGAAGTCAGAATTCTGGACTCAACTTTAATTGAAAGCAGGAACTATCTTATCCTCACCTTTAAAATCCCATGTACCGAGAACGATACCTGGTGTGAGAATTATCAAGTGAGTTAATGTCAGGCCTTCAAAGGAAAAGAAACATATACAGGACTGTTAGAATTGAAAGGCTGTATTTATGAAATTACAGAAGCATATCAGTTAATATTCCATGACTCATTTAGTTATTGATCAAAGAGAGAATTTATTCACAGAGCTTTTCAAATACAAACAAAATAGCAATTTTTTGGCTTTTAATGAAATGAATATGGAAATAAATGTGGTACAGCGCAGTATAAAAATGGAGAACCCTTCCCCCCCCCAAAAAAAAAACAAGATCTAATGACTGGAAAATGGACAGAAATATGCCTTTTACTTCATAAGAATAGCATAGCAGAAGCTACAGAGAAATACAGCATAGTGTTGAATAATAATGGAATACAAAGGCCTAACTCTAAAGGTCTGCATAAGCACTGAAAAGACATTGAGGGCATAAGGAGTTTATGCTCAATATACAAAATACTGATAAAGTGGCTTATTGGTCCATTTATTAGGTTTAACATATGCTTTATAAAGTGACAATACAGTTTTTAAATGCATGTTAAAAGGAACACAGAGTAACGCACAGCTACACCTGTCGTGCGGTCTTTGAGACAGTTTTTAGGTTTGCGTGTGGGCGTGTGTGTGAATGCAGATGTGTCTGTGTGTCTGTGTGCCCGTGTGCTTTCAGATGCGCCGTGGCCTGCCTGGGACCCCTGAGAGGTACCGGGCTTCCCACCATAACACTGTTCCTTCTAGCCCTTTGGTGATCTGAGTCTTTATTTAAAAAAGAAAAATCCCAAACCTCTGTTTGCATATATAGATTCGTTTTGCCTGCATCTATGTTCTACATTAACAACTCTGTGGAATAGAGACACCTAACACCCCCACAACATTTGTAGCCTTTGGTCCATTTTCTGCTACCATCATCCCATGCTCTCATGTCTTTTCCAAATCTCGTACAACCCTTCAGTGTTATATAATGATTCCGACTCTGCCTGGTGTCACTGCAACAGCATTGTATGAATTAGAACCACTCTTCCACCTTTGAAAGCAGCTGGATGCTTCAGTCCTCCAAGTCCCTCTGGCCCTTCTTCGCCACGGTCTGTTCTCGGGGGGTCTGTCCTCGGGGGCACCGTCTCAGTATGGGTACTGCTTCTGTTTCTTGCCGGAGAAGCAAGCCAGCCACGTGCAGAGCAGCACGGCAGCGGCGGCCCCCGCTCCCGTGCAGTAGTAGGCCCAGCCGATCTCACACTTACCTAGAGACGCAAGAGGGGAGAGAAAGCAGGTGCATCAGGACGGTTCTGTGGGAGAATCTGGGACTTCTCCCATGTGTGCAAGTTCCTTGCGGAGAGAAGTGAGTCAGAAATACCCACTGTCGGTGGGGTGTACTCAGTCCCGTGGAAGGAAAGTGCATGTGGAAGGCTGTGTGGAGACCGGAAAAAGCCAGCATGGTGGTTGTGTGCACTGCAGAAAGGCCTCGAGGCCCACGCCTCCGGCCTCCAACGGCCACAGGCCTTGTGACTAGAGGAAGAAGGGCAATGATCGGGGTAGAAGAGATGAAGCTATTAATTCCAATTTAAATCACCCAGAATCATATGCACCCTGTGGTATCTTGGGGAAAACTCAGAATAGACATACCCCTTCTGAAAAGGGCCACTCCACGGAGGGGACCCACTTGAAGGATAATGCTGAGGTGACCACTACTATTGACATGCCACTGCTAAATGACTCATGCGGGTGGAGAGGAAAACTCCCAGGTTCCCATGGGGTCAACACTCCCCTTTAAGTTAAAGCATCACGTAAATGAGACCATAATAACGAGGGTCCACAGGCGTCCCAATTGCTCAGAGTTGGGTTAGTACTAGAAGTAACAACGATGCCTGGGCTAAAATGGGCTAAATGTCTTAACACACACCTCCCCAAAGGAGACATACAGGGCACAAATAAGCACATGAAATGACGCTCCACGACAGGCCTCATCAGGGGAATGCAATGAGATGCCACTACACACCTATCAGCACGGCCAAAATCTGGAATATCGACACCACCAAGTGCTGACGAAGAGGTGGAACGACAGGAACGCTCGTACATCGGTAATAAGAATGCAAAGTATTGCAGTCACTTTGGAAAACATTTGGAAGTTTCTTACAAAACTAAATATATTCTTACCATACGATCCAACAATCACGCTCCTTGGTATTTACCCAAAGGAGTGAAAAACTTATGTCCACATGAAAATCTGCACGTGGATTTTAACAGCAGCTTTATCCATAATTGCCAAAACTTGGAAGCAACTTCATAGGAAGTATTCAAACCTGTACAACTCAAAGACTAAGAAGTCATTGACAAAGTGCCCTGTCTGAGATCATTACACGGGCTTCTGTATTCATTCCTCCTCCTTTTTACGTCATCCAAGTTATTTTTTTGTGTGTGCATCGTAAGGAAGTTTTCTGTATCTCTCATTAAATATTGTCTTTTCTGTGCCAGTTTTTTTTAAGATTTAATTTATTTATTGTTAGAGAGGGGGAGGGAGGGAGAAGGAAAAGGAGGGAAACATCAATGTGTGGTTGCCTCTCTCACACCCCCTACTGAGGACCTGGCCTGCAACCCAGGCACGTGCCCTGACTGGGAATCGAACCAGTCACCCTTTGGTTAGTAGGCCCGAGCTCAATTTTCTGAGCCACACCAGCCAGGGCTGCACCAGTTTCAATCAGTCTTTCAGTTTTATGATCTGATCACAAAATATTCCAACAACCGTTTTCCTCAATTTTCTTTTGTTCTTGTTTAGGTATTACATTAGACATAAACAATACACCAAAGATACTTGAATTTCATAGTTACTGAACATATTATAAATCACAGGTTAGAAACCACGTTCTTTTTTAATTATACAAGTCAGGTATTTTCACCTTGCTCATTAACAACTTCCCTGTTGAGCGATACAGAGACTGTCAGGCACAGCAGGCACCTTGACTTCATACCTGCAGTGTTGCTGCCTGGAGAGGGAGACAGCGCGTGACCTGTTTACAGATCAGAAGGTGAGGTGCGGTGAGGTTCAGTGAGTCATCCTCTTGTCACTCTGACGACAGAGTGGCAAAATTTGATGAGGGACCTTCGCATCTCGAAAGCTCTCTGGGGCATTTATAGTTCAGATGATAAGCTGTGTCATTCCGTTCTCAACCTAAGCATCATCCTTGATTTCCCCCTTTGCATGTCCAATAATAACAATAGTTTTAAAAAGGCAGTTTATTGACTTGATTATAGATGGCTATTTGCTCTAAATGGGTAGAAGAGCTTTACATTAAGTAAAGAGGAATGCATGCCATCCTCAGAAGAATTCGGTGTGATAGGCACATGAGTTTCATCCCCATCATTCAGATGGGAACACTGAGGCCAAGGAAAGTTCAGCAACCTGACCAAGGACGTGCTGTGAGCAAGCGGCCAGTCCTCTGCCTCTCCCTGCAAAGCCCATCGCGTCACCTATGCCTGCAGCGCCCGCCCGGACGGTCTCACCTGCCGTCACTGCTTCCCGCATCCCTGCTTCTACTTACAGCATCACCACCCCCAGTGAAGACAGCTAGCTTTTTTAAATAATTGATCATCATACGTCACTCTCTCACGTAAACTCTCTAATGCAGTCTCCAAAATCCAATCTCATTGCAATGGCCTTGAAGGAGCTGGTATCTGCCTTCCACCAAGACCTCATAACCACCTTCCCTCTCATCTTTTTTTTAAAATATTTTATTTATTTATCTTTAGAGGGGAAGGGAAGGAGAGAGGGAGAGGGAGAGAAACATCAATGTATGGTTGCCTTTCATGCGTCCCCTGCTGGGAACTGGCCTGCAGGGAACTGGTCTGCAACCCAGGCATGTGCCCTGACTGGGAATTGAACCACGATAGTCTGGTTTGCAGGCCCATGCTCAATCCACTGAGCTACACCAGCCAGGGCCCTCTCGTCTTTTTTCTGGCTGCAGTGGCTGCCTTCTCTGGCTCACATCAGGCTCACTGCTGGCTTGGGTGCTTCACTCATTCTTCTGTCCACCCAGAAAGCTCTGCTTCCAGGTCACTGGAGGTCTGGCTCCTTCTCAAGTGACACCTCTACCAAGACACCTCCCACCCCGCACCTGCTTCACCAGCCATTCTGTCCGTCACTCCACTTGACCGTCTGTGTAGCACTTGACCATGGTTTGGAAATACCCTGTGTGTGTGTGTGTGTGTGTGTGTGTGTGTGTGTGTGTGTGTGTGTGTGTGTGTTTATCATTTCAGTGTCAATTAGGGGAGATCTTGCATATTTTCTTCCCTACTGTACCCCTCCAGTCGTGCCTGGCTCATGGTAGGCACTCAATCAATCAACGTTGAGTGAAAAGTGAGGAAAAAGAAAAATGAAAAGATAGAAAGCCAGGGAGGCAGAGAGCCATCCCCTGCAAAAGAGGGTCATTCTGGAATGTTGTTTTGAGAGCAACTCTGGTCCTGCTCTGCCAGTGACTTTCAGGAGCAGTCACAGTGCATTTGCAGGCACCTGCAGACCGGGCTGAGTAGAATGGGATGCCAGATCCTGAAAGGTCACCTCTCCACCTCAGGGACGGCCTCCCCGGAACAATGACCTCCATTAACACCGATGGATGGTGAAGAACGATTCAAGGTAACAGAATCCACTTCATGGACCAGATTTGCTGATAACCTCAAGCCACTGTGGCTGTGACTCTCAGGAATAGTCTCCATGTTGAATTATTTTTTTAGCTGTATTAAATAAATCCAGGATGGAGAATTAATAGGCCGCTAAGAGATGGCACATGGTTTAGAAGCTTTCAGAAAGTCGGCAAAATTTGTGGTCGGGACATTTAGCTCAGGGTCCATCACACAGAACAGCATCAATTGTCCGTTATAACAAGGTATTGACCGACAAACAGTTCCAGAGCCTGACGTGAAAAGCAGAGGGTGCCACTCATTATTAATTCTTGGACACTTGTGTGAAAAAAATTGCTGGTGAGGCTCATAGGCTGAGAGTAGTACATGTGACAGTGACCACGTGTATTGAACAAAGATGGAAAAAGAAGCCACTGCAGAGTTGACTGCTGGGGGACCAAGGAGGGCAGCGAGCAGAACATGTTTTCTTCAGGGAAGTCAGTGAAATAGCAGCAGTTGAAACTCTCGGAGCCTTTGCCTGCCTGGGGCACTGCAGCAGACAGGGCACCTGTGGTACCCAGCGCCTTCAGACTGCTTTGCTGGTTCTGGGCTCTCATCCTTCCACTTCCGCTGTGCTTTGCTCCTGACCACTTAGATGGATGTGCAGACCCCATCAGAGGACCTGTGAGGATGGGGGGCTGCTTGGCCCCGGTTCCCAGAGCGGAGGAGCCCCCTGGCCTGCCCTGCAGCCAGCGACGGACTGATGGAGGGACTGGGCCGGGGCAGGAGAGCCCGCTCCCCGCCCGGGGCATCCCCAAGAGCGCACCCTCACTCGGATTTCACTCCCTGCCTCCCTTGCTTTCCCGCCTCCTCACCAGTTTTCCCGGGGCACGCTCCAGTGGTTACTCGAACGTGAATCCTCGTTTTGGGGTCTGCTCTGGGGAACTCAGTTTAAGACGAGAGAGCAACTGAACAAAATCTTCCTTGCTTTTCTTCATCACAGCGAGGGTCTGTGAAGTCACCTCAGGTGTCAGAAACTGAACCACCCCAGCCCGCCCACCCCAACCCGGCTGTTCCCCGAAGGACCCAGAGCAAGACTGGAGCCCTCGGGGGCAGCGTCACCCACTCTCCCCGCCCCACCCTCCTCCGGGGGAAGATCCAACTCCTGGGCTTGCTAAGTGTGTAGGTGTCACACAATTTTAAAGAATGGCTGTGTTTCTGAAGGTTTTCTCATTTGGGTCATAAAACATGTAGTCAACTCAGACCTACTGTTTAGCAAGTGAACATGAGACAGAATAACACTTGAAATAAAGCTACTTAAAAAGCATTCTATAGGGGCCCTGGCTGGTGTAGCTCGGTGGATTGAGTGCTGGCCTGCAAAACTAAGGGTCACTGGTTCGATTCCCAGTGAGGGCACATGCCTGGGTTGCAGGCCAGGTCCCCAGCAGGGGGCTCATTAGAGGCAACCACACATTGATGTTTCTCTCCCTCTCTTTCTCTTTTTCTTTTCCTCTGCCTAAAAATAAGTAAATAAAATCTATTTTAAAAAAAGCATACCATAGGCGAAGAAGATGTTTTAGGGCGTCACAAACTGTTGCCACTAAATACACTTATATGCAAGTTTCTCTGT